GGGCGGTGTTCGGTTTTAGAGGTGGCCTCTTAGTAGTTTTCTAGTTTTTCCTACTGGTTCCTACTAACTTTCACGTCTCACCTTGATGAGACCTGAAACTCTTGCCCAGCATAAATGAAGCTCATGCTATTGCATAGCTTCACAAGAGTTTACTGATCTCCACAAGAGCCGTGGGCAATGATCGATGGGAACCAGGAAAATGCCCCCACCAACTGAACTGCGTCGAATGTGGGCGGGAGATGATACGGGCTTCGACCCACCGGATCACGTGCCTGCTATTACACCGCCCCCGCAACTAAATATTAATGAATAAATAAGTACCAGTATAAATAGTATAACAACGAGCAATGTAATAAACGAAAATACTGGAAATATTGGAGTAAAGCTGAAATACAGAAGAATACGAGTAACATGAAGGGACTGAAAACCACGAAATGCACTGAAGATAAGGGAAACAGTTCGGCGTAGTGGCCGTAATCGCCAGGGTTAGTGACTGACAGTTGTGGCATACGCGCTGCCTTACTGTAATCAGCTTTAAGAACGTGTCAATCTATTTTCCATATTTAGAATTACAAGATAACGTAATAGTACCCATAAATCGACCGTACTATTTTACGCTGTGACATTGGGCACTCGTTGGTATAAAGGATCTAAAAATAAGGCTTTCAATCTCAATTCTTGAGAATGCGCCACGCACTCGACATTCGTTCAAAATCGTAATGGGAATGGCTGCGATGCGTACTGTATCCGAAAAAGGAATTGGTCACACATGAATTCCCTGATTTTCATGCCTTAAGCGGCGTTAAAATGCCAGCTGGATCGCACAAGAACTTAGGCTCTATTAGTGAGAGTTGTATCCTTCCAGACACCTTTGGTAGCTATTAGCCGACCAATGACGTTGAGGGAGGGGATTGGGAGGGGGAGGAGAGAATGGTCGGGAGAACCTAGCATTTGGCCCCGCTATGTGTGAGTGCTGAGTGGGGATCCCTTGCTGTTGGTTCATTTTATAGAAAGGTCACCATACTGAATAAAACTAAGTCAGAATGCCCTGATGCTCATAGTCAGCTTGAAATACGCCACACGTCCAACTTTTCAGAAACTCTACGAAATCGCGCGCTCAAAAACCTCTCGACTTTACTTTATCGGAACATGCTAGTCATTCGTCTTCGATTCATGAACTCGCCGACTTGCTCTGCGTCTCAGGGTTCAAACCGGTTTTCAGCCTTCCCAGCGGAAATGTGTTGAAGAAGATGATTTCTTTTGGAAAAACTACGGCGTTGGTATGAGAGTACAAAAGAGCAACAGCAAAACGACGTCGAATATATGCTGCGAGCTCTCCGTGCCGGGGTAAATTTGACATCTCGTGGTCACAATAAGAGTGGGGTTTCAGACACGGAAGGGTTAGGGAGCTAAATTGCCAGCACAATCCAGAGACAACTAAAAGTGTCGATGCAAGTAAGGATTCTCTATGCAGTTGATCCTTGAGGAGAGGGAATCTTGAACTAGAGAGAGCTGGACAGAGTAAGCGTGGCGAGGAGGAGATACATGAACGAGCGACGACGGCCAGAAACTAAGACGGGGCTGAACGTCGTAGCATTCATTGTGCGGATGTTATGCCGAAGTAACGCTTGCCCGCTTGACATCTGACTTCGGTACGTTTTTTTTTCCTCAACTGGAACAGTGTTGTCTATGGTGGCCTACACTACTTTTCCAAAATGGCTAAAGTGCGTGGCCAAAATTGTTTTTTCAGAGATCATTTATAGGCAGTCACGCGATGTCGTAATACATCTTAGGAATACTCCCATTTCGTGAGTATATCGTTTAATAATCGTCGGTCTCCAACGGCCCTGAGGGGATTTAAAAATATCACTTTTTCTGAAAATGTTTTGACTTAGTTTTTTTGCTCGGTTCCCTCAGTTATTCGTTCGCTCGTTCCTGGCTTGATGTAAATGCACATAGATCAATCTGCCTGGTGGGAGCGACAGATTAGCCTTGCTAGTTCTCCCTACAAGAAAATCCAGGAATACATGCCAAAGCCGTGCGGGCCAGGTAGAAAGAACTGGGGCCTGTTTGAAAAAGCCTACATATTGACTGCTTAAGTCAAGGGTTCAAGAAACTTTATTATTGCACTACAAATTCGATTTAGTATCGGTCAATGTAGTAGTGTGGCATGACATATCGCCCACGGGGATTCAAGTTTTTGGGGACTGCTAGATTAAGCGCGTAACGACAAATGACTGCGTCAGTACGACCCGCATTCCTGGGCAGCTCTCAACATCCCAGTATGATCCCAAAGGCCGTTCCCCTGGCATATACGACTTGGGGGAATTTTTTTCAATTGATCGTTGATTTTCCCCTTTATTGTGCGCCATATTATTATGTACGCCTAGTCTGGTTTTCAGCGCAGCAAACTCCACACCTTGTCACGGTTGGTTGGAGTTTTCTAGGCTAGCTAGCCCCTGTTCATGCAAGCATTTTGGGAAATTCGGTGACATATTGTCAGTATGGGGAGGGGCGTGAGTCTGCAGGGCCGGAAGATTCTCCCAAACGGTTCAGCATATGCGGGTGGAGTCGGAGATAGAGGAGATATACATTGAGAATTCTGCGAGTCCTGATACTGAGTGGGGCTGCCCAGATGGGCAGTCCAAGAGAAATTGGAGGAGTGGAACAGCACAGCTGGGAAGAAGAACTACGATCGATCAACGGAGTGAAATTCGGGGAGAATTTTAAAGAATTGGGGAGCAATTTGCATGTTAACAGATTGATCCCTGTCGCCTGAAATTGCATGTTCACCGTAGAAAATCGTTGTTCCATTACACATCGAGACATTTGGACGTCAGGTGAGTAAGGTGTAGATGTGACGTCTCAAACGAAGATGGAAAGTGGGCGCGCAAATAGCGCGTTGCCTTCTCGGCGAGAGAGCGTGACTAACGATCGGAGAGGGTGGTGGTGGTGGAAGAACGAGAGAGAAGTATACATGTATAGTTAGTCCCTATGAATGAACATTTTGATGATTTCAGAACGACGGCAACGAGCAACGACGACGGCGACGACGACGACGTGCAGGATCGTAACGAATGGTTCTTATGGTTCCAGATCGTCATACTGGGTTCTGATTGGCTTTGCGTGTATGGTGGAATACGTGCCTATACATACGAGTGTGTCGAGCCGCGTAACCACCAACACTAACGGCCCAGGGAAAAACATTTTCGGCAAAGTTTGCACAGTATCCAGGAAACCCTGGGAAAAACTGCCTTCCCCACAGGGTTTTCAAAGCGTCAGCACGGGAATGGGGCTGCGGGGTAATGATAGGTAGGGCGTCTCCATACCTCGCCTGCGTAATCCTCATTTGCAGCACTGCGTCAATACTATGATCCCACAGTGACGACAGATAACAGCCAGGAGTGAGAGGGTGCAGACAAGTAGCGCGTTCCGCTATAGTTAGGCATGTAGCAGCGCGGGCGGAATCGGGAGACGGCTCCCGGGTATCATTAGGCTCCGTTCATACTTTGCGGCAGCGTCCACCAGCGACCATCAGCGTTTCGAGCGTCATCAGCATCAGCGCTAGGAAAGTATAGATATCGATCTAGCGAACAGCAGCATCTACCAGCGTCTGCCAGCGACCTTCAGCGTCTCGAGGGCTAGGAAAGTATGATATTGATCTAGCGTCTACCAGCGTCCACCAGCGACCAGGAGTACGGTATTGTGTAGTAGTACGGTGCGGTTGCACACGCCACAATTTCACGACGCCTAATCCAGCTGTCTGCTCCCTCCTACTTCCCCATACTCTCTACTCCTGGTCGCTGATGGACGCTGATAGACGCTGGTAGACGCTGGTAAACGCTAGTAGACGCTGGTAGACGCTGTCGTTCGCTGGATCGATATCTAAGTATTCCTAGTCGCTGACGCTGGTGGACGCTGGTTCGCAAGGTTTGAACGCATCCTTACCTGCAGCCCCGTTTCCGTGCACATTTGACCGGAAAATGTAGCACGCTTTAGCATCTGCGCCCCATTCTCCGCACACACAGCAAGAACCAAGATTCATGATGGTGAGTGTACTGTTTGTCTTTAATTTTTGCCCGAGTCATGTATGCAATTTCGAGCCGAGGTCCGCGATAGGGAGCGCTGCTAGCGGTATGAAACATGGAAGAGAAGTCTCCAAAGAACTCGCCTTTGGAGGGATAATGCAAAGGGGAGCCTGAAAATCGCCTCTAATGGAACCCTAGTAGCCTCCACCAATTGATCGAGTACGAAGCAAAAAAACCGCGTGTTGAGACGAATGGTTCCTTGTGAGCCCTACGACCCCCCGCCCCAAAGACAACTAGAAGTGAGAGGGCGCACATAGGTGGCTCGCTCGGCTATGGTCAGGCGTGCGGCTGGCCGTGCTTCAGCTCGGGCGCAATATGGGGACAGCTCTCGAGGTATAGCTATCCTTCAGCTTCGTTCACGTGCAATTTTTACCGAGGAACGTGGCTCGCTACTGCAGCTGTGCTCCCATTTACCTCTCGTGTTTCGCTACGAGACAGACTTCGAAGGCGGGGTCTGGAGGCGGAGCCATTGGGAAGTGGAGGTGTAACCTGAGCAAACAAGCGCCTCAGCGATTTTACCTTACAACTTTCCCCTTGGAACTGGTGCCACGTTGTTCATTGCGGAACACGTTACCCTTCCCACGCAATTTCTCTTATTTTCAAAGGCCATCGCTGGAGCGTTCCTTCACTTAGGGGAAAGAAGCACGGGGGGCGGAAGAACATTTTCCTACACCAAAACGGGCCTCCGCATTTACTAGTTATAGCGCTCTTTTTCCTGAGCCACAGCCGTTTACAATGCCTTCATTCTTTGCGCCAGCATTTTAAGAGTCTTTCTTTAATGTTTTGGGAGACTAAGAAAGTATAGGTATTGATCCAACGTTCGAGCGATAGTCGATACCTACGATTTCTTAGTCGCTCAGAATGCTAGATCGATCCTCATTCTTTTTCAGTTGTTGAAAACGCTGGTGACGCTCAAAATGTTGGATCAATACCTATACTTCCTTAGTTGTTCAACACGCTAAAAAAAGAGCTCGAAACGCTGTGCAAAGCATGGAGGCACTCTTACTGATGACAGCATCTCCCGCATCTTTCCTAGTTTGTTCCGCTCCTTCAGGGCTTTAGCCGATAAATCAAAGATTAAGCTGCAAGGAATTAATTCTACACTGCTGCGTGAGTAGCTCTTAAGTTTACAGTTCCCTATGCAAGTAGACCAGCCCGTGGAAGGGAGTGACAAAATGGATTAGCGCCAAATAGTTTAAGAATAGCTCACCAACTCTCCGTTGCATGCAGAATAACTTTGAGGATCAATCTTCATTGTTTACAACACATTCGAATATGAACAATATGAATAACGCTGAAATCAATTGCTAAGCAAACAGCCGAGGAACAAACCGGAGAAAACCCGCACGATAAACTTTAGGTTGGGACCACTATTTCCTTTCTAGACAATGCAATAAAGGAAAAATAACGAAAAGTGCCTAGTCTATTTAATTCACGATTGTGCTGATTGCCTCGTGATCATGAAAAGACGAGACTTCCCTTCGTGGGCTTGACCAACTAATTTTGTCAGCACTGGTCAGCAGACATTACGAAACTCTTATCAAATCAATGGGAACGAAATCAGCAACGCTACGGGGAAGAGCCAGCCCAGTGACTAGCCGTGTGAGCACGACAGCCGAAAACATTCATGCTTTTAAAGGAGGGTGCCTATGGGACAACAATTGCAATTGGAGCACCAACCGAGTGCTTGCCACCGCGAAAATGAGTCGCCCTTTAATCCCCCCTCATATCGCGGGCAATCTATCAGTGCCGGTCATTTTTATAGCATCATTCTCAAGGTACAAGTGTTGTTTTTCATTATTGTGCCTTCATAATTAGTAAATGGACTCAAATTTTGAATCTGGTGGTTGCGATGCTCTGTCCTTTCTAGAAATAGGAAATTCGACATAAATTTCAACCTTTAAATTTTGCCTGTACCGTCCCAAGAACGGTGTTTCACTTCTTTTCTTGAGAACTGGAACCGATGTCTTAGCAGAATATTTGGCACAATTTTCATTGGCTTTGCTCGTTCCGTGGAAATTTTAGAAAGTGCACTGACAGAATTTGCAAGAAGTTACACCAGTACAGGGGGAGGCGGTCGTTTGGCTCGATCACATTGCAACTGATGCGTAATTACAAGTAACGGTACGTTTCCCCAAGGTTGGTGAACTCATCCAAATCACCAATGTGCAAAGTTTTTGTAATCGTCAGGCTATATTAAAACGTGCGTGTTGCCTGCGGCGATCCTATTTCTCATCCAAGACATTCCCATTGATCAGTCGGGGAAAAAACTTGAGGTGTAAAATTTTGGACGAGTTGCTCTATTGGGAAACGGTTCGTTCGACGTGTTTTGACACGTTTCCGGCACCTGGATCACGCCAAACGACATACACCTCTGACCACTGGGCAATGGGGGAGACGGTAAAGAGGATCGTAATTCGCCGCACCGCCACGCGCGGCGATGGGCGCGGCGTTTTCATAACTCGTTTTAACCTGTCAAATGGAGCACCGGATTTCATGTTAGGACCCGCCATCGCAAGACACTCATTACTGCTTCTCGGTCCTTAACTGCACTGTTGCTCCCGTCACTCTACTTGCACCTGAAACCGTCGTCCTTTGCGGGCGAGACGTCGTACGCGACGCCCAGCAGCGGATCCTCTTGTCACACACCCGGGGTAATGAAAGTGTTATTGTTAGGACATGGTAAGGCGTTCGCACAACGTCCCTACACACAAAAGCAGAGAGGAGGAGGTGTGCCGCAAATGCGAAGGCCTTCTTTTTTCATGGAGGGATTGATTTCTAGATTTCTTTCCTTATAGCCGAGGCGCTGCATGCTATCCAAGTAAAGTCCGAAAATTTCGATGAAGTGGTATACTAAGGCTACGTTCATACACCGCATATCCCAGAGGTAGAGTAGGCGTAGTTGCGCCCTTGATTCTTAGAATGCGTTCTTTTGGGATCTCTAAATCTGAGGCAACTACCATCCCATTTTGCTGTTAGACAAAGACATGCATTGCAATTATTACCAAACAACAATATTAAACCTGAAAGCGCTAGCATAGCCGATTCAAATAAAGTCTGCAGCCACGCCCACTTCAGCTCAGGGATATGGAGTGTATTTTGCGTCAGGGTTTTAAGCGTATAGGAAGCGTAGATATGTATCAAGCGTTTTGAGCGTTTCGCGGGTAATTTGAGCTTTTCGCGGGCAGTCGTTCAAAATGTTACCGTACGCTGGCGTAACCTGGATCGAATCCATACTTTCGTAGTCGCTCGCAGCGCTGCCATGTACCCGAAACACTCAAGATGCTGGCGATTTTCTTGTCATAGGAGCGTCCTGAGACGGCTTCGTGCACGTTTGTAGTGGAGTCCTGCATACGTAAGCTGGACTGTGGACTCCTTTACTGGGGAGTTGCGTCAACTTTTAGACCCTCATATTTATTTATTTATTTATTTATTTATTATTTGTATTGGCGTCAGATTAACTATCCTGTCTTGCCAATGGAGAGCTATTTCCATTGCAAGGACAGGATATTCATATCTAAGTTGATTAATTACGGCCACGCGGAAATACAAGCATCGGATGAGAGATGAGAGGCGATTGTTTAGTCGACCCTGACTACACCGACTGACTTGGGTCCTCCGGTACGTTTCCCCCTCTTCCCGGGTCCCGTCCTACCTGCCCTCTTCCTAAGTTTTACCGACTTTTTTCCGCTTTCCGCAAAGTTCTAGTTGTCTTCTAAACGCTGCGATAGGGAGGGGGGGAAGGGGAAGGAGTGTCACGAAACAACTAGTTTGTACCATCAGAAGTAGCCGTAATACATAACTTCGGCACCGATGTCAATTAAAGGTTGGGAGTTAATAACCCACATCACAGGGGGAAAAACCGCTGGCAGTCAAAAACCACGAAAAAATTTTCTTCAAAACCAAAGATGGTAACCGTTGATCAATCACATTTTGTGATGCCGCACGGGTTCTAGTTCCAATTAAGGATCGTACTGGCTCATTGAATGCGACGTAGGCTACACCATGATATGCGGGGAGCAGCCATCCTATAATACATGTCAAAGTTCTTATTCTTCCGAACTAATCCGACACTTATTAACCGTCTCTTAACCGAAGGGAGAATGTTCGTGGACTGGGCGGGAGCCGATGGATTTGACCCCTGGACCGTTGTAAACCACCTCCGACTCGGAAAATTTTTCTGTCAGAACCTAGTACCAGTCACATCGACCAACTATGATCTCCTTCTCAACGGCTAAGTACGACTCTCCTTGTCTCTCTCTCTTGTAGGGATTCTGAAAGAGGCTTGAAGGCGGGTCGGGATACAGTGAGGAACCTTACCTTCCCAGTCCTTGTTCCATGTTTTTTCTTTGCTTTTTTTGCTTTGTAATCACCTTGCCTTTCTGAACTGAAATTGAACGAGTACACGACATTTCTAAGGTGGTGCTCTAACGAAACACGAAATTTCCTCTCCTTCAGTCCGTGCACGCATCATCAAGTCACTTGGCACCGCGATTACTCAATGTGTGGGATCCCTTTTTGTACGCCCAAGGTGGCGCAGCGGGCAGTTGCTGACGATGCACCACTTTCGCGGCTAGAAAGTGAGTGGCAAGGCCGCCAGAGGTCTTCCACCAAGGTCAGGCCGCGCCCACAAAGGTGAACCTCCTCCTTCTATTTGACAACCTTTATATGCGGTGTGGTCCCTCTCGCCATGTACTTTCTTGCGTCGCGGGTCACTTGTAACGACTACTGCTCGGAAATACGACCGGCTCAATCGGCAGGCTTCCTCACTCAGCAGTTGTAGTGGTCCAACGATTACCAGTGGAGCGCAGTCGCGTGCGTGAAAAAAAGAAGACTGCCATCGTAACCCGCGCCTTGGTTTGGTGACCCAAAATTGAAGTACATTCAACTCCCATGTTCCACTGTCTCTGCAGTTCTCATATAGTGTACTTTTACAACATTGACTAATCCCCTTGGCAACGCGTTTGCGCGTGCCCTAAGACCTCCTGGGGAGGGGAGGGAGCTCCAGCTGTGGGGATGGATTACAGCCGGACCGCGGAATCCATCCTAGTAGTTACAAGGCAAGGTGTCCCAAAAGTTTGCGGTAGTTTTTTAATTCAATGCCTCTAC